GCACCGCAGGAGCTCGAAAGATGGGGCTGGCCAGATCGATCGAGTCTCGGGTTTCGTGGCGAGCTCGGGGCAGACCACCTGCAGGATTGGAGGGGGCACTGAGATCGACTTCTTCGTGGTTTCCTGCAACATGGGCGCTGCTGTGACGAGAGTCTCTCGCTTGGACGCAGCGCTGAGCCCGCACTACCCAGTGCAGCTGACGCTGGACGGCAACAAGGCGCCTGAGAGAGCTCTGCGGCATCGGGCACCAAGGCCGTTCCCCACCGAGCGACCAGTGGGGCCGAGGCGTGAGCCGCCGTGCTGGACAGGCTTGCTTTCGGAGCTGGCGGACGCCATCGCGGCGGCAGCACCCAGCAGCGCAGCTGGCAGCCAGGGCCCGTCGGAGCATGGCCCCGAGCCCGCCAGGGAGGCCGACGCCGCCGCCCCTAGGGGGGCCGCCGAGGACGTCGAGGCCGCCGAGCTGGACGGGTCCTTCGACCAGGGAGGGGGCGAGAGGCGCGATCCAGGGGGACCAGTCCCGTTGGGAGCGGTCCCCCAGGATCCAAGTCCTGGGACAAGCAGTTGGGGGCAGCCTGCGATAAATTGCCCTGCTGTGGATGCGAGCTCAGACGGCCCAGAGACTTTGCCGAGCGTTTTGGGGCCACCAATCCTGATGCCACCGTCAGTTTCGGCGGAGACGCTGCGAGGGGTTCGAGAGTGCTACGACGAGGACTGGGCGGCGGTCGTCCACTCCTTGAAGGGCGACGTCCTGGACTCGCCCCTGTGCGCCGTCACGGACAGCGAGCCCGAGCCTGCAGGGCAGGCTGGCGGCGCGGGCCAGAGGCAGACTGGCGAGGGGGCGGCGGAGAGCGCGGCCAAGGTCGGGAGGCTAGGCCATGTTGCTGGGCCCGAGGGCGACCTGGGGGGAGACGGCACGAGGCGCCCAGCGGCTGGCGGAGATCTGTCTAGGCAATCACAGTCGATGGGATCTGGTGAGGCCCCTCAGGCCGCGGGCAGAGGGCCTCGGACCCTGGGCGAGCTCTACGCCAGCTTCGCGGCGCTGCTCGAGAAGGACTTGGGCGGCCTCTTCGACGTGGAGCAGGAGGACCTGATGAAGTGCGCGGGGCGCGGCGAGCCCGCTCGCTTTCAGGAGGGCACCATCAGCGCCAGCAGGCGGGGGGCACGCGCCCGCGGCTCCTCACAGGCGCGTACCTGGCACAGGATCGCGGCGCTGCTTTGGGAGGAGCTGGCCAGCAGGCGCCGCCTGCGGGCGCCGCGCCTCGTCTCGAGGGAGCTGACCGCGCTGGCGCGGCTGCAGGCCAAGCTCGGCAAGCTGGCGGCGCAGGACCTGGTCGGCGACATCGGCCTGGACGAGGCCCAGAAGGGGAGCAGGCAGAGGGACTTGGCACGCCAGCTGCGGGCAACGGGCGACATGACCTACGGCCAGCTGAAGTCCCTGGAGGCCCACGCCAGGCAGGCCGCCAAGGCTTTCGACTTGAGAGACGCCAAGGGCCGCACCAAGGCCTGGGAGGAGTGGTCCCAGGAGGCGGTGCGCGGGGGCGCGGGGGCCGCCCACGGTTTCCGCAGGGCCCCGCGGGGCTGGACTGCGGACGTGGAAACCAGTGGGCGGCCTGCCGGCATCGCGGGCAGGTTGGAGGCGCTGAAGACGGAGTACCAGCAGGTGTGGCGGCACCAGGAGGAGGACTTCGACCTGGAGGCGATGCTCCCCGACGAGCTCCTGGACGCGGCCCCTGGCCCGCCAGCGCCCGACGCCATCCGAGCGGCGGCGAGGGCGTTCAAGGCCGAGACGGCGACGGGGGTGGACAGCCTCAAGCCGCACCACTTCGGCTGGCTCTCCGACCACGGCATCCTCGCGCTCAGCCTGCTGTTCCACCTCATCGAGCTGCGGACGGATTTCCCGTCGCAGGTGGCCGAGGTCTTCATTTTCTTTTTGGCCAAGCCCGATGGGGGCTGGCAGCCCATCGGGCTGATCGCCTCCCTGATCCGCCTGCTGGGCAAGATCAGGCACGACGAGGCGAAGTGCTGGGAGGCCGCCAGGGACAGGCCCTATTTCTTCGGCGGGGCTGGCAGGTCCTGCGAGGACGCGGTCTGGCTGCAGAGCTTCGATGCGGACCACGCGAAGACGCTGAACCTGGAGGCCGCGTCCACGCTCCTGGACCTCAGCAAGGCCTACGAGAGGGTCACGCACAGGGGGATGGTCCACGCCGCGGGGAGGGAGGGCTTCCCGCTGAGGAGGGTCAAGATCCTCCTTCGCCTCTACGGAGGCAGGAGGCGCCTCTGCTTGGACCGTTGGATGACGGAGGCCTTTCAGGTTTTCCTGTCGCTGCTGGCGGGCTGCTCCTTTGCCACGACGCTGCTCCGAGTGGTGTTGGTCGAGCCGCTGGACGCGATGTTGGCGTCCTGGCAGATGGTGCGGCCATACCTCGTAGTCGACGACATCACGTTAGCAGTCTATGCCAAGCGTGCGCAGCTGGAGCACCTGTTGGTCGGGGCCACCCGCGCCCTGTGCTTGGACCTGGAGGCCATCGGCTTCGCCATTTCCTTGACGAAGGGCCAGGTTCTGTGCACCGACTCCGACATCGCCAAGCGAATCGCCCACAGGCTCATGCGCTGGAAGTTCACGCACGTGAAGGCCACAAAGAACCTGGGCGTGGACTTCACCATGGCAAAGTCGGTCGGCCTCGTGGAGGGTGCTACGGCAGAGGATCGATCGCCTGAGCCAGAGGGCTGGGCGATACAGAGCCTTGCGCAAGGCGGGGGCCAAGAGGCTCTCGAAGGTTTTCAGGACAGGAGGGTTGGCGTCCATCCTCCACGGCGCGAGAGTCAGCGGAGTACCCACGAAGACCCTGCAGCGCGCCCGAGCAGTCAACGGCAGGGCCACCTCGGGCGAGATCGGCCAGAGATCCAGGACGGTACTCTTCGCCCTGCAGGAGGGCAAGGACTGGAAGCACGACCCAGCATACGCGGCGCACGTCCTCCCGTTGAGGGCTTGGGCTCGCGCCGTCTTCCTACGAGTGCGGCCCCCTGCGGTCTTCAAGCAGGTGCTGGAGTGCAGACCAGGCGACTGGGGCGAGGTCACTGGGCCAGCAGGGGCGGTCCGCCTCTCGCTGGAGCGCATCGGCTGGGAGCTGCTGGACTGGCACCGTTGGAAGGACGACCGTGGGCAGATCCTCGACGTGCAGCTGCTCAGCCCGCGGATGGTGGCCAGCCTCGTCGAGAATGGGGTCCACCGCTACCTCATGCTGAGGATCGCAAGCCACGAGGGCTTCGAGCATCTCCAGGGCCGCCCGCCCAACCTGGAGCCGTTTAGGACGGCTCTGGCGGGCATGCGGCGCGCTGGCAGGTCGCAGGAGGCCGCGCTGGTGGAGGCGCACATGGCAGGTGGGCTCGTCACGCAGTCCGACCTGTACGACGAGAGGGCGGAGCTCAGCCCGCTGTGCCAGTGGTGCGGGGAAGCACCAGGCACGGCGCACCACAGGCTGTTCGCGTGCCCCGCCATCGCCTGCTGGGCGCGCGACCTGGGCTTCCAGGAGATCGCCGACGCAGGCAGGAGGGCGCCGCAGGACGACCTAGGCCTGGTGAGGGGCCTCGTCAACCTCGGGCTGGACCAAGCCCCCCCCCCCCCTGGCATGGACGAGCTCTGCCACCGCGCAGGTTGCGCGCGTCGCGGCTTCCTCGAGGGTGTCATCTGCATCGACGGTTCCGCGATGTACCCAGAGGCCCCGTGCCTGACACGCACGGGATGGGCAGCAGTGGTGGTGGACGACGTCGGGAACACCGTCGGCGGGCTTTTCGGGCTCACGCCAGGCTGGATCCAGGAGATCGGCTACGCGGAGCTCTACGCGCTGCGCAGGGTCCTGGAGGAGGTCGGCCCATCGCCCATCACGGTCTATACGGACTGCAAGGGGATCAAGGACGACTTCGAGGCAGGTCGAGGACGCTGCTGCGGCCCAGGCCACAAGTACGCGGACCTGTGGAGGCGGATCTGGCAGCTGCTCGACGACCTCGGCCCTGGGTTCCTCACTGTGACGTGGTTGCCGTCGCACACTTCGTGGGCCAGGGCCAGCGCTGCAGGGGTGCCGTGGCTGGCCTTCGCGGGCAACAGGGAGGCCGACGTGAAGGCGAAGGAAGGAGCCAGGCTGCACCCCAGGCAGGAGCGACTGCGTGAGTTGAGCCGCCGCCTGGACGCCGCCGCCGTGCAAGCAGAGGCCTGGTGTGGCCACCACGGGGGGATCCTGAAAAGACTCGCCGACCTCGGATGGCCCGATCGGGGGGCCATCCCTAGGCCCAGGGGCTCGGATCCTGGGACCCTGGCCCTGGTGGGGCCCGACAGGGGCCACGCCCTGGCCAGGCTTGGTCGGGCCTGGGGCTGTTCGGTCTGCGGGATCCGTCGGGCTACCAGGGCCAGGGTCGTCGCCAGCGCCTGTCCAGGACTCCCGTGGTTGGTCGCCAGGTCCCACCCGTCCCACAGGCTCTGGGTGATTCGGGGCGGGGACGGGCCGGGTCGGAGGTCCTCTGGGACGGGTGGCTGTCTCGTGTTTTGTCGGACGTGCGGGGCCCACGGGAGTCGCCAAGCGAAGCTCCTGGCCGACCCCTGCGTCCCGCTGGCCAGCAAGGGCCGCGACGCGGCTCGCCTGGCCCGCCGCGCCCTCGAGCGGCTCAGAGCGGGGCGGGAGCCCCAGACAGGAAGCCGCTGGGGGGCGGTCCCGTTCCCCGTCTCGAGGGCGGCGGCGAGGAGGATTTAGTTTTGCTAAGTTTTGGCTCGGACTCCAAGGGGCCCTCCCGCGCCAGGTTCCCTTGCCTGGCGGGTCCTGGGTCTGCCGTGGAGTGTTTTGATCCCCGTTCGGGGCCGAGGCTGGTTTGCGGAGCGGACCGCCTTCTGGTAGGAACTAGAGGAACTAGAGGAGGAGGAGGAGGAGGAGGAGGAGGAGGAGGAGGGAGGAGGAGGAGGAGGAGGAGCAGGAGGAGGAAAAAGGGGCGGGGCCGCCAGCGGGGCCCAGGAGTGCCTCTGGTCGCCGTGGTTCACCCGCGACCTCGCCGGCGGGCCCCGGGCGGCGGGCAAAGCGAGGGGCAAAGAGGGGTCGGCGGGGCGACCCGTGCAAGGAGGCCCCCCGCCTCGTCTCGTCGCCTCCTCCTCCTCCCTCCTCCTCCTCCTCCTCCTCCTCTCCTCCTCCTCCTCCTCCTCCTCCTCCTCCCTCCTCCTCCTCCTCCCTCCTCCCCCCTCCTCCTCCTCCTCCTCCTTCGTCCTCCTCCTCCTCCTCCTCCTCCTCCCTCTCCTCCTCCTCCTCCTCCTCCTCCTCCTGCTCCCGTCGTGGAGGCCAGGGCCGGAGGAAGGGTGTCCTGAAGGGTTTTTTGTTGCGCCCCTTTCGGGGTTCCCTCGGCCCCGAGGCCTGCAGCAAGAATCGTTCGGCTGAGAGGCTGGCCCCATAAGGGAGTGCACCGGGGCCTACAGGGCCCCTTTCCGTCGGGGCGCCTGGCCTTTTGCCCCCGTGCCGAGCAGCGGGGCGGGGCAGCCTCTCAAGAAGGCCCCCCCGCCTCTTCGGAGGCGGGGGGGGCGCGGGCGTGACGATGATCCTCAGGACGTGCGTTGGTCCGCCCACTGTTTCGGATGCAACTCCTGGGAGGTCAAATTCTTTTTTTGCCCAAGTCCGATATCCGGCTTAATCCGGCTTAATCCGGCTTTATCCCGCTTGATCCCGTTTAATCCCGCTGAATCCGGCTTAACCTTGCTTAGTCCGAGGCCCACTCCGGCGTAACAGCTCCCAAATGTGGCTTAGTCCTCCTTAATATTTCCAACGAAAGCCTCCCAGTAGTTGCCTCCTAACAATGTGTGTTGCCCTCGCTCAGCTCCGCCGACAGGATGCAGTCTGCGTCGGCCTCCATCGCACCGCCTGCGTCGTACTGGAGGACCTCGGCTGGCAGGCACACGTTGGTGCTGACACACGTTCTGAGGATCATCGAACGTGTTTCAAGGGTCTGGTTCTGGGCCTCCGCGTCTGGTTCTGGGCCTCCCAGATGGGGTCGGAGGATTGCGCCGCGTCGCTGATGCATCGCCGACATGGCGCGAAGCGGGGCCCGACTTTCTCCACGCCGACGTCCCCGATGCAGCGCCGACGTCGCCGATGCATCGCCGATGCGTCTCCGCTGCGCTGTTGATGCATCGCCGATGCGGCGCGATCCTCCCCCCCTGTCTACTCCGACCCCACCTGGGAGTCACCAGCCTCGAACTCATCCCTGTCCCTAAGATGGAGACGCCGAAAGGCGATGGCAATCTCAGGGATGCGCCCTCAGAAACGGAGGGAACCCCTAAGATTGGCATCGTGATGGGGCGATGCCCGGCATACACCTTGGGCGATGCTTAAGAAAACTTACATTTTCGGCCAGAGTCTCGATTATTCTTAATGTTTCAATGTGAATCCTAAGATTTCAATAGACATTCTGGGTTTTTATTCGAATTCTGAGACTATGAATTTCTTAACCCATGATTTCTAAAGCATTTCGCAGGGTGTAGGGATAGGGATCTGTCCCAGGCCGGTAAAGGGAGGCCTCGACTGGTCCCCTCCGAGCAAGCCGCGCGGGTTTGGCAGGCGGGTGGGGCGCCTCCCGCCCGCGCGCACCTCTCGGAAGGCGCCCGAGTGCCAGCTCCCCCAAAAGCATCCCAAGAAGAGAGTCCCGAAAGGCCTCTGACTTTTCTGCCCGCCGCTCTCCTCCCTCCTCCCTTCTCCTCCTCCTCCTCCCTCCTCCTCCTCCCTCCTCCTCCCTCCTCCTCCCTCCTCCTCCTCCTCCTCCTCCTCCTCCTCCTCCTCCTCCTCCTCCTGTGGGTTCCTCGTCTGCACCCTCCTCCTCGCCCCCTCGTCCTGCCGCCGCCGGCCACGCGCCGGGGAGCGGCCCTCCCGCGGGGAGCGGCCGCGCGGGGGCGCGGTGCTCGGGCGGTGTTCGGCGGGGGGCGGCGAAGCCGAGTCTCACGCGGGCCGCTGCGGGAGGCCCTCTTCGGAGCGAGGGAGGGAGGGAGCTCCCTTTCGAGTTTTACCAGCCTCGAGCGTATCCCTATCCCCAAGATTGACACGCCCAAAGGCGGTGACAATCTGAGGGATTCGCCCTCGCAAAAAGAAGGGAATCCCTGAGATTGGCATCGTGATGGGGAGGTGCCCAGCAGAGGGGTAGGGATCTGCTCCAGGCTGGTGAGAGTTCTGTGTGTGTCTGGGACCTCTGCCCCGGGTGCTTCTCAGAGGCCCTCGCGCCTCTGAGGAGGTTTCTCTGCCCTCGGGGGGGGGAGGAGGAGGAGGAGGAGGAGGAGGAGGAGGGGGAGGAGGAGGAGGAGGAGAAGGAGGAGGAGGAGGAGGAGGAGGAGGAGGAGGAGGAGGAGGAGGAGGAGGAGGTCAGGCCTCTCAGCCGGCCGGAGGCTTCCCGAGCCTGCCGAGGAGGCCCGCGCTCCCCCGCTCGCTGTCCCCCCTGGGCCGGCCGCCGAGCATCGCCCGCAACGGCCGTCAGGCCGCGCACCACAGGCCACCGTGGCGCCTGCTCTTGCGTGTATCAGGAGGGAAGAACACACACAGACACAATTAATCGTCGATCCCCCAGAAAATATGGGAAAATCTGGGAAGTGGGGGGGAAGACAGGAACCCAGAAAATATGGGAAAATATGGGGAACCTTTTTATTTGTGTGTATTTATTTGTGTGTCCCAGGGCCCCTTCAGTGTAGCAGATGCAGCACAAGGGAGGCAGTCGCTTACAGTCGGCCCGGATTCGTGGGTCGATCCTGCCAAATCACGGGTGCCCTTCTGTCCCGTGCCCCGCGACCCGTGCCTCCTGCATTCCCATGGTGGTGTGGCCCTCGGGAGGGTCTCCTGTCCCCTCGCGTGCCCTCTCCGAGGAAGTCCGCCTGTGCTCGGAAGAGAAGACCTCGGAGGTGATAGCCCTCCCACGGCATGGGGCCCTGGAGCGCACCCCCCGGGGGGCCGCGGGCCGTCCTCGCCTGGTCATCGGATGCTGGGATTTCCCAGTCGCGACCGACGAGATCGGTCGCTACCGATCGTGTTTGAAATGGCGGGGTCGGGCGCGACCCATTTGTTCCAAAGTCGGTGCGACCGATCTGGAGTGCCGATCGGTCGCTACCGATCGCGACCAGAAGACCTGGTATCCAAAATAAGCTGCCCCCGGGCCGGGCCAGAACCGCGGAACGACGCCCTTTGCTTTTCCAAGCCTTCTGTGTTGTTGGATCCTCATTCTGAATCCTCAGTGCCGCGGTTTTTCCCCGGCATTTTCTCCCCCTCCTCCTCACCTCCGCTGCCGCTTCCAGCGCGCTCCTCACAAGGATCGTGCCCCACAGGGAGTTCCCCCTTCGGCAGCAAGTGAGAAAGCTTGCATGCATCCCCCCACCGATTCTGGCGCACTCCTCACCAAGTACCGTGCCGCTCTGGCTTTGGTGGGAGAGTCTGCGTCCCCCCGCCAATGTCGGTGCACTCCTCACACGTTCTTCGTCCTCCTCAGGGAGCTCCACACACGGCCCAAGTGAGGCTATTGGATTCAACCGATCCCACTGGCCGCCAGCCAGATCCCAGGTCCCTACCAGAGCAGCTCTTCTTGCAACAGATGGGGGGCGTCAAAGGTCAGGCTGACAAGCGAGGCGGCTCCACTGGTGCTTCAGCCCCGAGGAGAGCGAAGAAGGGAAGGCCTCGGCTTCGAGGAAGGGAGAACGTTGGCACGTCTTCCTCGGCGCCGAGGCGGCGGAGGGCTGGGCGAGACCTGGCGGAAGCAAAACTGGGGCCGCTCCGCCGGCGGAAGGCTGGCGGGAGCCGGCGGCAGCAACGAACGGCCCTCCAAGACATGTTTCCTTTTGCTGTTGGTTCCGATTTCGTTTCGTCCTCCTCCTCCTCCTCCTCCTCCTCCTCCTCCTCCTCCTCCTCCTCCTCCTCCCCCCCTCCTCCTCTCTCCCCGCCGCGCCGCCCTCCAAGACATGTTTCCTGTGCTGTTGGTTCCGATTTCCCGGCGCCGCTAGGGGGCCACACGCGAACCCTACCCCTACCCCCCACGATTTCTGAGGGGGAGGGCGGGGTTCACTTCGCTCGGGAGCTCCCAGACGAAGTGAACCCCGCCCTTTGAATGCAGGGCTTGTTTGAGGCGCAAAACAAATGAAGTAGGTTTAGAGTAGTTCCTGAAGTAGGTCGGCGAAGTAGGTCTGCAGCGCGCCTGGCAACAGTGGTCGGCGCAGGTAACTCGAAGGGAAAGGATGGCGAAACCGATTGCCGCGAGAAACTTTCAGGGGAAAGGAATGCGACATTCATGTGCAAAAGTAGCTTTCCAGGGAAGGTTGTCGGGAACACAATATCAAAAGTAACGTGTCGGGATCGGGTCAGTAATGATATTTTCCAAACAAGCTTCTCGGGGAAATGCTGGAATGCCGCCGGCAAGGCGCGGCTTCTGCTAGCAAACCAGCCGAGTAATTCGTGAAGTGCGCTGTATTGGGTTCTTCTGGACTCCTTCGGGGCTTATCTTCAGGCTTCCAAAGTCTTCGGAAGCGCATGGGCCAAAAGGCCCAATTCATTCGTGTCTCGTACGATTTGGAAAGATTTCGGCTTCTCGGGGGTGTTATTGGGTGGCTCCGCGGCCGCTTGGGGCGGTCTCGGAGCGGTATTTGGGTTTCTTGGAGCATGCGGGAAACAATGTTGATCCATCTTGGGCTATCTTGAACCATCTGTGAGACCGCGTTGCATTCTGCGAGGTCATGCCGGCTCTATCTTTGACCGTCTCGGGCGCTCCAGCGACCCGCCGCCCCCCATTGCAGACCCCGGAAGGAGGGGGGGGGAGGGGCGCATCCATCCCCGAAGGGAAGACTGGGGGTTGTTGGAACAGGAAGCGCTCTAAACCACCTCCGTCCTGAGATCTGGGGGCAGACTGGGGGTTGTTGGAACAGGAAGCGCTCTAAACCACCTCCGTCCTGAGATCTGGGGGCATTGCGTTTCCCCTTTGGTCTGACCACAGCGGGAAGTGGGGCGCGGAGGGCGGGGCGAGGGCCGCGGGCCCGAGCAAGGGGGAGGGGG